ATATATATATATATATATATATATATATATGTGTGTGTGTGTGTGTGTGTGTGTGTATGTATACATATATTCTGCAATTTTTCACCTTTGATCACCTTACAAATCGTATCTTTATGAGACAGACCAGCAGAGTTCAGAGAGGAATGTTATGCTAATGTGAAAAACCTTTCAGGCAGATACCAAGTCTTTGGGAAGGGTTCCAGTAAATTCAGGACATTCAAGACCCATAAAACAAAAAGAGCTATAATTTAGACACAGGACTCAGCATGCTGAAACCCTGAAGGGACAGGATGAAGACAGCAACATGTATGACGTGTTTGAAATAACGTCTCTGGATGAAGCATAGAGGATGACAGCTTTGGGAACAATGCACACACAACTGATCAGATTGATGGTCTCCATCTGACCTGATAACCAATCAGAGTTAATCAGTTCCTCTAATTATTCTAGAGATTTAGAGACAGTGATCCCAACCACAGAAGTAATCAGAGGAACTGATAAGACGGTACATACTTTGTCCTTTAATGGTTGGACTTTGACAACCCTTCTCTAACTAAACACAGCCTACATGTCCCAGCTTGATTTCTGCAGAAACATGTGATGTATGATCCAGCTTGGCCCCCAGCCAGTAGAACGGCATCTCTACGCTGCTGCTTTCATCTGACATCCATCACTTTCTGGAAATGTTCTACGTAATAAACTAATAAAGGTTTATTGCATCATAGGCCGTATTAACTTAATCTTAAAGTTCAAAGACAATTCAAAGTGTTTTATGTGAATTAAACAGTAAAATATTAGGAAAATAAAAGAATAACAGGAAGTAAAGATAAAAATATGATAAAAGTAGTAAAACAAACCAGTTGGATCACAACCTTAAACAATCAGTGAGCAGTTTAACTTTAACAGTCAAAGGCAGCTCTGGTTAAATTTGATTTCAAAGAACTCAGGCTTTCAGCCGTTTTGCAGTCTTCTGGGAGTTTATTCCAGATCAGTGGAGCAGAGGAACTAAATGCTGCTTCTCCATGTTCGGTTCTAGTTCCAGGTGGACAGCTTAGGCTTGAACTAGAAGACCCGAGTGTCTGGGAGGTTGATCTACTGACAACAGATCTGTCAGGTATTGAGGTGCTGATCTATTCAGTGATTTCTAGACTAACAGAAGGATTATAAAATCTATTCTCTGAGCTACCTTTGGAGCTGGGCAGACATGCTCTACTTTCTTTGTTCTAGTGAAAACACTGGCAGCAGCGTTTTGGATCAGCTGCAGCTGTCTGATACAGACTTTTTAGGCAAACCTATGAAGACACTGCTGCACCGATCAGCTGTGCTGCCATTTCCACCTTTTTTTTTTAATATACATTTTCAAGCTCTGCCTGTTTTTCAGTGTAGTCCTGTTTTTCTAAATGACTGGCTGGATGTGCTCTCTTCATCCTCTGACATGAGAGCTCGTCTCCCTGGCTGTTTCCTGGATGGAACCGCCTTTTACAGCTGCCTTTTTTATCTATTGCTTCCATCTCTTTGAACCCCAGTCGGCCTCAGCAGATGGCCGCTCACACTGAGCCTGGTTCTGCTGGAGGTTTCTTCCTTTTAAAAGAGAGTTTTTCCTCTCCACTGTCGCTACAAGCATGCTTAGTGTAAGGGATTACTGAAGAGTGGATGAAATCATTGATATTTCCTTAGATATAAAACTTTTAATCAATCTGACTGGATGATCTGAACTGTAAAGCATCTTGAGATGACATGTGTTGTGAATTGGCTCTATAGAAATAAACTGAATTGATTATAAAAGTGTATATATATTTACGTTTCACATAAATGAAAACAAACGCAGTGAGTTAACAGGTAAATATCTTTTATTAATGCATCAAGCTCAAAGCACAGATATATTTAGCACATCTTGACCATCCAAAGAACAGCAAAAGAAATTAGAACAGCAAAATGGCTCCTTCAGTACATCCCAACAGATCTGGATAACCTCACCCTCTTCCTCCCACCTTCTTAAGCAGGGCAGAAAATAAAAAATAAAGTCACCCCTCAACTTCAGAACAGAAGCTATGGGGGGGAAACCGCTTTAACATTTGGACACGAAATAGGAAATAAATTGGTCCGCAGCAGAAAATACAAAATGCTTTGTATAAAATTCTCTAATTATTTAACTGCAACAATGCATTGACCTCACTGTATAAAAAAAAAAAAAAAGTGGCAATGATCCCCAAATAGTAGCGTTAAGATGTACTTAATCCCAAATGAAAAAAATAGGCTTTGAGATTAACTACAGCTTAACTAAACCCTTGAAAAACATCTAGACTAAAACTTCAAATGGATGTTCCTCCCCTGTTGGATGCAGCAGAGGAAGGTGAAGCGCACAGACCAACGAGGAAGAGGTGGCGCTACGCTGTCAAGCAACACGGCACTAGAAGTCACATGCACCACGGTGTCACACGGTGTCCCCCTCATAATGGACACAAAAAAAACGATCTAAAAAAACTGCTAGGAAGTCCTGTTTTCAATTGGTGGAGGAGGAGGGGGTAATAAAACGGCAGTTTAGTAACATGTGGAATGATCCGGGTTCACCCTGGCGTGCTCAGACCGATGGGCCTCTATTGTGCCTTTAGATTCCTGTGTGGGCCGGAAAGAGACAAAGGATGGACTGTATGGGAGAAAAGAGAGAAGAACAAAACGCTCTGCTGGACAGCTAAGCAAAACCTGTCTGGTTCCATTCAGAGCAGACAGACGGGGACGGCTGGCACTTCTGCAAGGAGCGGAAAAACCAGCCGTCAGCAGCGGGCATTGGCCCGTCAGCTCAGAGCCATCCAGGCTTTTCTCCACAGCCCGTCACCATCTGGAAACGCTGATCTAGGACGGATGAGGAATCCTCATCGCAAACCAGGAAGAGCGTTTGGGTCAAGAGAAGCTGACTGATCTGAGCACGTCAGGGCCCTGCTCTAGTGCGGGCGGAAGCCTTGTCTGTGGGGGATGAGGGGGGAGACCTGCAGGAAGGGACCGGTGGACGGCGCCCGGGTGGGCGGCCTCCGGCGGAGCGCGTTTAATTCCTCCACATGCACCTCAGGATCACAGCAAGAGTGAGCTAGAATATCGAGACAAAGAGAAGAGCTTTCATGCAAGAGACTTAAGTCACAGTTACGACGACGCAAACAACTCAAACTGGGGGGTAAACTCAGGGCGAGGGGGGCAGACGCCAGGCAGGCGGCGAGGGGGGAGGAGGCGGCGGCAGGGCAGCGCCCGGAGGGGCCGCCTTTCTTTTTGCGCCTCTTCTTCATCCTGAACCCTCAGCTCTGCTGGTTCTGCTGGCGGTTCTTGGCGTAGCTTGTAAAGACAAAATTGTAATCGTTGAATTGGGCCAGCTGGCGGTCGAGGCGCTTGTAGCCCTCGACTTTCTGGGGGGAAGAGAAGACACTGCGACACTTGGAGCTCTGGAAAACAAAACAAAACAAAGATAGAGGTGGATGATGTAATCATTCCAAACACTGCATTAGGAGGCGTCTCTTTCCTACGCTGCATCCATTCCTCTAATAAACTGTTAAAACTGATCAGAAAATTAGGAAAATGGCTGAAAATTTGCTTATTTACCTTTAAACTGATGCATCTGCCAATAAATGAGTATTTTTGCCCTAAAATAAAACTATTAGATACCATGAACGTGGAAAAAAGATAATCTTTTATATTAAACATAAATCATCTTATTCCATCAGCTTGTATTTCAGTTTTTCAGATCGGAGATCATGAAGGTGTCGTTATGAAAGCAGCGCCTGTGTAACACTCGATGACGTTTTAGTGTTTCAAACAGTGGCGGTGCTAGGCCAAATGTTCCAGGGGGCCAGGAGGGGGCCAGGGTGTTTTCATGGGGGGGACAGAAAAGCATGAAACAAAAAACAGGGTAAGGGTTTCAAATACATTAGGAGAGCTGGATGATGTGAAATTAGTATTCAATTAGTTTTAATTAAAATGTTATCTTATTAGGTCAAAATACATTCATAATTCAGGAATTTTACATATTTTTGACTTCAGATAAAGTTACCGTTTTCTATAAAATCTGAATCAGAAACCAAGAAACACTGATAAATTCAGATGTAAAAATTAGCAGATGAAAACTGGGATCCTATATCAATCCCACTGAAGCCATCAACTTATTATTTTTAAATAATTAGTTAAACAGAATTTGTAAAGAAAATAAATGAAATAGATCCAAAGGACACATCAGTAACTATGTCTGTTCCAGTGCAGATCATCATTACAATTTCTTTTAGTATTATGTCTTCAGTACAGGGGCCATAACATGATCTAC